AAGACAAGACAAGCGGCTCTGGACTGGGCCAGCTGTCGGTGGTCGGAAACCTTACCAGCAGAGAGGTGTGGACAAGGAACCCGGAAGGCTGGTCAACTTGAAGCTCCGAAAGGTCAGAGCCAGCCACTCCCTGTCTAATTGAGACAATGATAACTGAAGCAAGCTCCACCTTTTAGTCGTCTGTAAATCCTTGCTGATTGACTGTTACTGGCTATGGGTGGATCCCAAATCTTAATATAAGGGATTGCAAGGCCAGAGTGAGGAGGAGTCCTCCCCCTAGAGTTGGGCTCTCGCCTGGCCCCCAATATCACCAAATTAATACTTTTCTAGTCTCTTTCATTTGTGTGCAGCCTCCTTCAGAATCTGAACTCTGAACCTGAACCCTGAACCACGTGGGACGTGAAAGGGGTTCCCACAGTTGGTACCTGTGTTTATTAGAAGCCAAGTCCAGCTGAAAACGGTTGGCTCAGTGGATAGAGCATCAGTCTTCAGACTGAAAGGTCCTGGGTTCGATTCCGGTCAAGGGCATGTACCTTGGTTGCGGGCACATCCCCAGTAGGGGGTGTGCAAGAGGCAGCTGATCGATGTTCTCTCTCATCGATGTTTTTAACTCTCTATCCCTCTCTCTTTCTCTCTGTGAAAAATCAATAAAATATATATATTAAAAAAGGGTGGTATCTTTAAAAAAAAAAAAGAAAAAAGAAAAAAAAAGAAGCCAAGTCCAGTGCAGGTCCCTGCAGCTGTCCCCTTTCCCGGGGCCCCTCTCCTCTCTCACACACAAAGCCGGCCCAGCCACTGGCACCCGGTCCTTGGGTTTTTCTGTGAGCTCCAGGCTCCAAGAGCTTCAGGTCTTCAGGGAGCCCGCCTCAGCCTGAGCTGGAGCTTTGGGAAGGGGGCCAGAGACCCCGTTTGCCCAAGGACGCATGGGGAGTTTTCCCAATGTGTTTGGTGCCTCCTGGTGGAAAGCTGCTGAACTGCAGGTGGAGCCTCTTCCTCCTTCCCTCCCTTCACTTAACCCTAACCATTTACTAAAGGCCCTACCAAATATCCTATGTTTGGGCTTCAGTTTATGACTTCGGAGGGGACACAATTCAGTCCGTAGCTCCTACGTTACCTTGTCATTAGATCCTCACAGGCTTCTGAGGTGCAGTCCCTTCCTCCCTGGGCAGTCGCAATGGTCTGTCCAAGGCAGACATCCCAGCGGCCCCGGAAGCTCCCTAACTCAGACCCGCTGTTCACAGCGCAGCTGGCAAAGGAGAGCCAAACAGCTTCAGTGCCTCTTCCCTGGCCATGACACCTTCCCTTACCAGAAGCAGCATGAAGTTTGGATGAAGGCCATGGGATTTGCAGAGGCCACATCTAGGTTCAGACCATGCTCGGCCCTCTGATAGTCATGATCCTGAGCAACTAAGCCAGTTAATCTCCTGCACTTCCATTTCCCCTGCTGTAAAATGAGCACGACGAGCAGTGCTGTATGCAGATGTTCGGCACAGAGAGGGTGGGCAGAGTCAACCTGGGTGAGTTCCCTTCCCTTTAGGCTGTCCACAATCTGATTCCAACATGTCCCCAGCCTATTTCCCACCACTCCACCTGTGAAACCCACAAGCCAACTCAATGAGTCATCCCCGCCTTGTCCCTGCCTCTGATTATCGCTAGCTCTCCTGCGCGGAATAGCCACTAGTCGGAATCATTATTAACACAGAGGTGGAGAGGACTGGCTCAGACAGACCTGGTTTTGAATTGTAACCTTTCTGAACCTCAGTGACGTCACGTGTGAAGAGTTGATGCTCTGAGATAAGCTGTGTCACGTTCTCAGCAGAGTGTGGGAGCCCAGGGCTGTCACTTGGCACGGCTGAGGTGCCAAGGAAAATCCCAATGTAGGTGTTTTCCAGAGACTCTTCGGGGAGTATTAGCTCTGTAAGATCGTGGTCGGTGTGACCCGGAAGGAGACTGTGGTACTGGATATAAAAGGGGAATTACAGGTCCAACAGAGCTAACAAGTTTGTTGACCACAGGACTTTTCCAAGTTTTTGATTGCTAATGTTTATTGTAATTTTCTCAGAAGTGACAATAATTTACGTCATTTTCCAAACCGGTTAGCTACAAAATCCTTTTTTTTTTTTTTTTAATTCTTTATTGTTTAAAGTATTATATATGTCTCCTTTCCCTCCCCCACCCCCCCATTGACCTCTCCCTGGCCACAGAATCCTTTTTCAAACAAATATAATCTTTGATTTCAGAGAGGAAGGGAGAGGGAGAGAAAGAAATGTCAATGGTGAGAGAGAATCATTTGATTGGTTGCTTCCTGCATGATCAGGGATTGATCCTGAACCCGGACATGTGCCCTGACTCGGAATCAAACTGTGTCCTCCTGGTTCATAGGTTGACGCTCAACTACTAAGCCACTGTGGCCAGGCCAGAATTCTTTTTTAATTGCCCCCACCCCACCCCACCCCACCCCACCCCACTGGGATTAAGTGTTGTACAAAAGTCATTTGGGAAAGAATAGTTTAAGTAAACCTGAGAATAAAAGTTAATAGCTTATTCAATATTTGCTTTCCTTTTAGCTGGAACCAACTTATGTTAGAACTTGACATTTCTGATAGCCCTGAGGCTGGGAGCCAAATATTTATTTAGTTTTTATTTTATGAAGTTTAACTGACCTACCGGCTAGTCAACAGAGTTTGAAAAAGTCACAGCTGGAAGTCAAAATCTTCAAGTCCCAGTTCTTTCTTCAACGTGCAAGCCTACTCTTCATCATCTCCATGGGGTGTCTCTGAACACCCCAGCCCTCAGCCGTCATACTCCCCAGACCTCATGAAGTGCTCACTGTTTGAACTTCTCATGTGACATTTAGCTTGTCCTGTTCGTCCTGTCTTGTTCTGTTTGTGCACATGATTTTGGTTATTCATGATGGGCCTCTCAGACCACACCTGTGTCTGTGCGGATGAGGTGACACTGAAAACCCATTGTCCATGCCAGAAAGATCAACCACATGTTAGAAATGTGAGACTGTAAGCCACATAATATCCTGGAGGAGAAAGGGTTGAAAATTGAGTCGCAGGCCAATGATTCAATGAATCAGGTTTATCTAACGGAGCCTCACTGAGAGCCATGGACTCCAAAGCCCGGTGAGTCTCCCTGGTTGGTAACACTCCATCTATTGTTGCATCAGCGTGCTGACCGCGCGATGCATTCTGACTTCACAGGGAGAGGACATGGCACTTCACACACCGCCCCCTCTGCATCTCTTCTTTCTGCCGGTTCTGATCTGTGTCCTGTGGTTATAATGAAATTATAATCATGAGTGTAGAGCTTTCCGGAATCCTGTGAATGGCTCTAATGAATGATGGAACCTGAGTGGGGAGTGGGCCCCTTCAAACCTGTAGCCAGTTAGTCAGAAGTGAGGGTGTCTGAATTGAGGGCAATGGTGCCCACTGGAAAATACTGCACCTCCCATACGCCTTTGCAGTTCAGGGTGGCCATGTGAGCAGACGGATGCTGTGAATTTCCGGGAAGGTTTTGTTTTCCTGATGTAGGCATTCAATCCTGTGGCTCCCTTCGCCCTCTCCTCCCTGCCCGGAGCATGGATGAGAGGCCCGCAGGTGCAGCAGCCACTGGGCTATGAGTGAACAATGTGGGAGGGAGGCCTGTAAGCTGAGGATGAAGCAGAGATGAAAAGATTTGGGTCCCCGGTGACAACGCAAATCGGCTGTACTAGCTCTGGACTGCCTAAGCCTAGACTTCTTCTGTAAGACAAATGAATTCCTAATTACTTAAGGTAGAAGTTATTTTTTTGTTGGTTATTTGAACCCTTAGGAAGACTTTTAAAAGAACAAAGTTGCTAGAACCAAGACTAACCCATTGGACATTCTGGGTATGTCCCCTTCCCCAGCTATGAGACATTTTCTGCGTTTGAGGTCCCTTCTAAATCCAATATCTTATCCAGTGGTCTGCAAACTCATTAGACAACAGAGCCAAATGTCAACAGGACAAACAATTGAAATTTCTTTTGAGAGCCAAATTTTTTAAACTTAAACTTCTTCTAACGCCACTTCTTCAAAATAGACTCACCCAGGCCGTGGTACTTTGTGGAAGAGCCGCACTCAAGAGGCCAAAGAGCCTCCTGTGGCTTGCGAGCTGCAGTTTTCGGACCACTGTCCTATACTTACCTGATTATAAGATAGAATTGGGCTCTGGGCTGGTCCCTGGAATAAAGGGCCGTTTTCTAGGACGTGGGAGGGTTTGTAAAAGCACTCACTAAGTGCTTAGGCACAGGTGCCGGTGGACTACCTGTGGCATCTGAACCCCGCAGAGGCCGCCGCACACTAATCAAAGCGGGGGGGGGGGGGGGGGGGTGAGGGAGTGTGTAAAATGCGAGTCCAAAGGACATTGCCTTTGGTCTGACATAAGAATGGAAGGCAGTTCTAAGGATTCCATCCCTGGAGATGCTCACATTTGAGAGTAAGAATGAACACCTATGAACTCCCACCCCCTCTCCCCGGGACATATTACATTTCCATCATCTTCTCTTATTGGAAACTTAGGAATCTGAGTGTGGGCACCTGTGCATCAGTGCGGGAGGGAGGAGAGTTGTTTTCATTACAATTCTCACCTGCCCCAGCATGACTTTAATAGGGTCTCAGGCGCATGCCCTTTAGGACTGCAGGAATGCCCAGGGCTCATCACAGCCAGCTGCTCCCTCTGCTGCCGGAATCCTGCAGGCCCCATGGTCCCCCTGGCACTGCCGGTTTGATCCCGCCATGGCCGGAGTCAGCAGCACCAGATCCGTACTAGTAAAGCTCTGGCAAATCTCATAGACCAAAAGGCAGTGACCACAGAGGGAACTTGGTTTTTGAGCAAATGTTTTTTTCCTCCATGCCCTTTTACAAAACCAACTGCCATCAGACGAGGAGGGGACCCCGTGGGGCTCCCGCATCGACGTGCTGTCTCTCCCCCGAGGCCCGTGGAGCCCCCGCCAGGCCTCGGGGACTCTGTCCTCAGCAGGCTGAGCTCTGTCCAGTCCTTTGGCTCCTTCCCAGACTGGCCTTTACCAGCCAGTCCCGTTCAGTCCCCTGCTCGGAGTCGCTCGTGTCACTCGCCTCCACCACCAGCAGCTTCGAGTAGCTGACCTTCTGCTCCTCCGGCAGTCTGGGCTGGACAGACAGGAAGAGGGCCAGCCAGAGCCCCAGGACCGTGCAGCTGGCCTGGTAGAGCACCGCCAGGCCGAAGCGCCTCACCACGAAGCCCGCCACGAAGCTGCCCAGGCTGGTCCCAACCGTGTAGAAGTGGCCTTGGAACATGGCCCTCAGAGGCCTCTCCATCCCGGGGGTGGCCAGGTCCTCCAGGGAAGCGCCCACGGCCCACCACAGGGCCCCGTGGCTGAGGGCGCTCAGGACCTGCGCGGGGAGGACGGCCCACCAGCTCCAGAGGAAGGAGTAGTACAGCAGCTGCCCCGCCAGGCAGCCCAGCCCCAGCCCGATGGCCCCCAGCCTGGACAGTTTCCTAAGCAGCCCGGTTCTGAATGGGTGCAGCAGAACCTCCCCTAGCAAGCCCAGGGCCACGGAGGCACCCATCACCAGCTCGCTGCTGCCGTGGTCTTGCATGTGCCAGAACAGAAAGTTCTGGACGGTGCTGGTGACGGCTCCTACCAGGAAGACCGTGATGGCCAGGAGGATGAGGCGGGGGTCGCCCTCCACCAGAGACAGCGCTTTGCTGGTTTTGTAGCTTCGCTCCCGGCGCCTGCCAACGGGGACGGGGAACATGGAGCTCACGGGCAAGGCCAGGACGCTGAGCAGCGCGTAGCCGTAGAAGGACACCGCGCCCCGGGGGCCGCCGGTCTTCGGGGAGCAGCCCAGCTGCTCCACCAGGGCCGCCGTGCCGCACGCGCCCACCGCCGTGCCCAGCAGCTTCCAGACCCAAAGGTCTCGGTGCCGGTCCGTGGCGTCCACAACGTCCAGGTACTCGAAGAGGCTGTCGTCCGCCACCTGCTCCAGAGGGGCCGCCAGCAGCTCCCAGAACACCAAGGACACCAGGCAGGGGATGAAAGCCCACCGCAGCCCTTCCAGGGACAGGCCCAGGGTCCCCGAGTCCCCCTTGGTGGAGGACGCATTGGCTGGGCCCCCAGCGAGCGGAGGGAGGGCGGTGCTGACCCCTTGGAAGGCACCTTCCCAGGGAGAAGCTTCCCTCTCTGCCGGAACAGGATGGAGGACTCCGGGTGTGGTCCAGGCTCCTTCCCCGGAGGAGCCCACAGACTTTCCGGGCAGATGGCTGGAAGGCGCTGGGACACTTGCCTTTGCGGGTCCTTTGCTGAAGCCGGAGGCGTGGCCGATGCCAGCACTCCTCTGGGCTGGGCGGCTGGAGCTGGAGCCCGGCTCCTGGGCCAAGGTCAAGTTCACGGCCAGCGCCGCCTCCGCTGGCGGGGTTGCGGGGGTCTCGCCGGGGCCTGCTTGGCAGGAGCGGAGCCCCGGGCCTCGGTCCAGCGGCGGCACCAGCAGCACCAGCAGGCTGGCTCCCGCCGAGCCCAGCAGCGAGCCCGCGAGCAGCAGCCGCAGCCTCCGCCTCCGGTGGCTCTGGGCCAGGAGGGCGCAGCAGGGCGCCCAGACGGCGGCCGCCAGGTGCTTGCTGCCCATCAGGATGCCCACCCAGGGCGCCGCCAGGCCCAGCTGCCTCAGGTAGAGGGTCAGGAACGGGGCCACCGAGGCGTCCCGGAGCCCACACACCAAGTGGAAGAGCCCGGCCACGCCCAGCGCCCGGCTGACGTCCCACTGCGGGTTGGCGCTCATGGCTGCCCGCCCGGCGCCCTCGGACCCGGGCCGCGGAGGGCGGGGGCTGCGCGGGGCAGCGCGGCGGGCCGGGGAGGGACGGAGGGAGGCTCGCGCCGAGGTGCGTGCGAGCGGACCCCCTCTCCGGCCTCGCTCTGAGCCCGGGTCACCGGGTCAACGGCCGCCCCCGCCCCTACGTCCGGCCCCCGCCCGGAAGTGGCCCCGCCCCGAGGGACGGTGCACCTGGGGGCGGGGCCCGCGCACCTGCGGCCGCACCTTTTCGGTCCGGTCCGCCTGGGCGGGACACTGCTGCTTCTCCCCGCCTCCTCCGCCCCTGGCACCTGCCACCTAGGCTTGTGGGCATTGCTGGCTCTCCCCTCCCTCCCCCGCCCTTGTACCTGCCACCTAGGCCGGCGGGCACTGCTGCCCGCACCTGCCTCACTCCTGTCCTCCTGGGCCGGGCACTGCAAGCTCTCCCCTCCCTCCCCTGCCACCTGCCACCTGCCACCTAGACTGGCGGGCACTGCTGCCTCTCCCCCGCACCTGCCACGTGTGCAGGTGCTGCGCTCCAAGCTGAGCCCCTGAGACCCCGGCCATTCCCTTCCGTGGCTCTCAGTCTCTCAGGAGCCTGAGTTTGAACCCTGAACTGCTTCAGGCCAGTGAAACTACCGGGGAGGTGGAGAGTGAATATAGAAGTCAAATTCCCTCCTCATCTTCAGGATTTACTCAAATGCCAGGACCACCTGTGACTGTCAGGGACCGCCCTCACTGAGATACCAGCCCCGCCCCTCGCAGACTCTGCACCCTCCGTTCCCTGCTTTACCTTTCTCCCCAGCAGGTACTGCCCAGCACGTGGGGATCCATGGGGCTCTTTATCACTCCTGATCTTGTTTATCGCCTGCCTCTGTCCTGCCAGAGCTCCAGAGGCAGCTATTGTTGTCCCCAGGGCTCAGAGCAGCTTCACGGGATGTGGATGCCCCCTGGAAGGGGCATGGCTGGTGACACCATCCTCTCCAGTCGGGACCACCCCCAGAAAGGGCTTGGCCGCTGAGGGTTGGCTTGGAGTGGCACTCCACACCTCCTCCAGGCATCCATCTAGACTCTCAAAGGGTTTGTTCTAATCTGCACCTAGGATGTCCCACTTGGGAGTACACGCTCCAGAGGAGGTGAGCTAACATTTACTTAACAAGCCCCATCCGGGGACAGGGCTGCTCACAGCACCGAATCTGGTTGGGGGAGGGGAGAATCGGCATGGGGGTGTATGCGTGGCAGGCTTTGGTCTACAACTTGCTTTCATTGCAAGCAGACTGGATGGGCTTAAGCCTCGCCTTTCTGTTCTCTGTCTTCCTTTCTTTCCCACCCACGGCTAGTCCTGGGGGCGAGGGAACTGGTTCTGGGCCACTGACTTTCCCTGTGTTACCTTGGCTGTGTGTGTTTGAACTCAAGAGCCAGCCTCTTGCTGTCTCTAGTCGCTGCTTTCTCCAAAACTAGCCTGCATTCCCACCTCTGTGTTGGGAGTCCCTAACATCACCGTGTGGTCCGGAGACACTACCTGGCCCGAATGGATTCACAGGGTAGTCCTGCCCCCAGTCCCTGTTAAAATATGAACTCTGCCGGTGCTAGAGAAGAGCAGAAACTTTAGTGTGCATTTATAGACTCTGACACTCTCCTCTCAACCGAGAGACGCCCGGGAGTGGGTGAGATGGGCAGAGGGACGAGAGCAGACATGGGAGGCAGAGGGGGTGTAGTTGTTTTTGTCTATGTCCCATTTCCCCCCAGCACACAGGGCCCTGACCATAACAGCAGCTGTCACTGTGGTCTTCAGGGTTGGCTGGAAGCTGGAGTGGGAGAGGCGGGAATTGGAAGGAGCGGGCAGCTGTGCAAGGAGCTGGGTTTGTGTGTGCACAGCTTTGCCCGGGCACCCTTGGGCCTTCGTGTGGCCTCCATCAACCTCACGGCCAGCCTCCTCGTGCCCCAGGCACTCGTTGGCTCCTGGCTGGGGCCAGTCCCGGGCAGCCTGGCCTTGCTCCGGCCATTGGGGTGAGTATTTGGACCGGCGGGTAGTGTGTCCTTCCTGGTGAGCCTGCAGCTCTCAGACTCAGCGCGTCCACTGCCCCTTCAGGCTCACTGGGCGATGCCGGAGAACGTGTTGATGGGCATGAGCAGGGGCTTGGGCGTGGCTTTGGTCCTTTCCGCCTCCTGCTGCTGGTGGGAACTGAGCCAGAGCGCCTTGGACTTCTGGACCCCCGGCTCTGGGCAGGGGGCAACCTCGAATCTGTGAGTGGAGAGAACCTTGCTCAGAAGACCGACCTCAGGGGCCAAATCTGCCAGCGATTTTAAAGGGTATCAAGGAGGGGGCCCCACAGAGGGCGGAGGAAGCATCAGGACCAGAAAGAGCCCCCGGGCTGAAACCGGTTTGGCCCAGTGGATAGAGTGTCGGTCTGTGGACTAGAAGGTCCCGGGTTCGATTCCAATCAAGGGCATGTACATTGGTTGCGGCCACATCCCTGGTGGGTGGTGTACAGGAGGCAGCTGGTCGATGTTTTTCTCCATCGATGTTTCTAGCTCTCTGTCCCTCTCCCTTCCTCTCTGTAGAAAACCAATAAAATATATTTAAAAAAAAATAAAGAAAATTCTTTAAAAAAAAAAAAATAGAAAAAAAAATAGAAAAAAAAATAAAAAAAAATGAAAGAGCCTCCTGGGATGAGGGCGCAGACTGGGAGAGGAGGGCATGCCCAGATGGGTCACTGTGTGTGCCTTCTTTACCCAACCAGGGTCTCAGGAACTGGGCACAGCGGCCACAGCAGGGCAACTTGTGTTGCCGGGGGCAGTGCCAGGACCGGGTATTGGATCAGGAGGGCTGCCCCTGCAGGTTCATGGGAATCTCAGCTACTCGGGATGAGACGTTCCTTTGCCCTTCTTCCCGGATTCCAGTCACAGGGCAGCGGCTCAAGTTCACACCCACTGGGAACACGTTCCCACCGGTCTCAGAATCTGCCTCTGGCGAGGCTAGAGGCGGGAGAGGGCGGGGCTGGCTTCTGCTTGGTTTGCCCGGTGGGGCACGCAGCCGAGAGGTGGCGGGCCCAGCCTCACCTGACCACATCCCTGAACGTGCGCCGATGGTCCTTGTCCAGCCACAGGGTCAGCAGCCTCTGGTCCTGGCTCTGGACCTGCACGTTGGCCGCGCGGAAGGTGTTTGTCACTGCCTGCAACAGAGAGACGGCTCCGGCAGGCGGCCCTGCCAACGTCTCCTCCCTGAACCCGGGTCCCAGCTCTCTTCCTGCAAGTGACTCGGTGGTGGCTTCCAGGCTGCTCTGGTCCCCTCAGGGTTTCTGTCCTCCTTCTCCCAACCTGCCGTCCTTAATTCAGAGCCCAGCCCGGGCTGCTCTGGCCGGTGCCTGCCAGGTGATGACATGGCCTGAGCGCTCCCATATGACAAGCAAGCGATGGGTGGAATTTTCTTAAGTCCTGACCCCCCAGTTCCATGTTGGATTACATACAAAATTATTTACCTGGGCCAGAGACAGGGTTTCTAGAAAGAGGCCACCTACCCGCCCCAGGACTTAGATCAGGCCTTGTCACTTTGTATCCTGGAATTGTCTGGGGGCCAGATACGGGCGGAAGGAATCCACCCTCTGCACAGGGAACCCGGGCCAAGGGGTTCAGCCTTCAGTGCCCCCAAAGCCCTCCGTGGCTTCTCTAGGAAGCACCCAGGGCCAGAGGAAAGCATCTCTCTGACCTCCCACCTCAGGGGGCCTCTCGGAGAGGACCTCTCCCCCCAGCAGGGCACTGGAGCTGCCTGGCTGCGGGCGGGACTTCAGAAGGCCTCTCCAGTCACTGGCCCAACCCCCATGCAGCTTTGGGTGACTCCTCGCCACAGAACGATGGAGTGCTAGAGCCTGGGACACTTGTCCAAGTGTTCTCAGCCCTGGCTGCTCGTAAGCATCATCTTTCAAAACATAAAATTAGAGATTCTGACTTCAATGGTCTGGAGTCCAGCCAGGCGTGATTTTGTGTTAGAGAGAGAGACAGAGATGTATGTGCCCTGACTGGGGATTGAACCTGAAACCCGTTGGTGTACCAGATGATGCTCCAGCCAACTGAGCCTCCCAGCCAGGGCCAGGCATGAGCATTTTAAGATAAGCTCCCCATTGGAGGCATGGCTGGGAACCACTGAGCTCACCGACCTCTGCACTGTCATAGAGCAGAGGCACCAGAAGCGGCCTGCACGAGGGTTGGGGGATGGGGTGTCAAGCATGTCCTGGCATCACTGCTGCAGTTTGGGGGTGAGGGTAGGCCAGCCAGAAAGCTACGGCAGAGTGTGCAAGAGTCTCTCGAGAGGAGGGTCAAAGCCCAGACTCTACAGCCGGACGCCCGGGTTCTCATCCGGGCTCTGCCCCGTATTAGCTGTGTGACCTTGCACATATCTCTCAGTCTCTTTGTGCTTTTGTTTCTCATTTAGGAGAAATGTGGTAATAATGGCAGCCACTTGGTAGGCCAGCTGTGGAGATGAAAAGACAGCATATGTGAAGCTCCTGGGACATGACAAGCTGTTTGTTGATGATGCTTTTTCAAGAAGGAGCTGGCAGCCAGGACCGGTTTGGCTCAGTGGATAGAGCATCGGCCTGTGGACTGAAAGGTCCTGGGTTCGATTCCAGTCAAGGGCATGTACCTTGGTTGCAGGCACATCCCCAGTGGGGGGTGTGCAGGAGGCAGCTGGTCGGTGTTTCTCTTTCAGCGACATTTCTAACTCTCTGTCCCTCTCAATTCCTCTCTCTGTAAAATCAATAAAATATATTTAAATTAAAAAAAAGAAAGAAAAAAAAGAAGGAGCTGGCGTAAAGGACAGCCTCCGCTGTCGGAGGCGAAGGGAACAAACCCATGGTGGGTTCTTTCACTCCCCAGCCTGCCTCCTGGCTCCAGCCCCCGTCTTCTGTCACCCTATAGACTAGGCCACAGGGGAAGTTCACGGTCAGCCAGAGGGAAGGCATTCCGGCTCCAAGAACAGAGGGGCTCTGTGA